CATTCTTCTGTGCAGCCTTCACCACTCTCTGCAAAGCTTTTCTTTCTGCAGCTGTGCAGCCTCCATGCCACACGTTGATGCTGGAGAACAGGATGCTCTACACTGCACACCTGTAGAAGGAGGTGAGGACTGAGATTCCCAGTCCAGCTCGTCTCAGCCGCCTGAGGAAGTATTGTCTCTGATGAGCTTTCTTCATCAGGCTGGTGGTGTTGTTGCCCCAGCTGAGGTTGTTTCAGGTGCATGAATGTGAATATGATCTAAAGTACTGATTAGTCTCTACAGATTCAGATTAACTTTGTAGAGATCTAGCAGAGTGCTGTGTGGAGGTAAACGAGGTCACAAATTGTGTTGTAAAGCACTTTGAGTATCTTGATTAGATAGCAAGGTGCTACAATATATAAGTACAGTCCATTTATCATTTACTAGTTTCTCATTTTACAGTGCATGTCTATATGTTAGTCCAATGCTCACCTAAAAATCTCCAGTGTAACAAAGTCATAATGTACATGTACTCACTCCTTTTTTTTTTCTTTTTTTTTGCATCAGCAGCATTTCATGCGGGAAACCGTGACTAAGCAAGACTTTTAGGCTGGAGTGTTACCACATCTGTGCCAGTGAGAGGAAGGAGAGGAAATGCATCCAGGGAAGATAAGGGTCTAAGAGCAACACAACACAAAGTTGGTCTTTGTGTTTGTAGCTTCTGGCACACTGAGAGGGCCTGAATGCTTTTACATCAGTTGGCTCACAGAGCTGAGATCAAACATTGTCCACTCTATGAAAGGAGGTGATGATGAATGGTACAGGAAACTCAGTGAAAGATGAAACCCATAACAGAGAGCACACATAGCTTATCGCTAATCTAACTGACCTTAAAATATTGGCATTTTAAGTTTTGTTTTATTATTAGAATGTTGTAAACTCTTCCTCCAAACATTTAGAAATGCAGTGTTACGCATAATTAAACTTTATGAACTTTTTTTTAAAGTACTGATGTTACTAGAGAAGATCTTTGGTCTTGAAACGTTCAGCCTTCTTTTCCCTCTGCTGTCCCTCCAGTTTCTGGGAACACCCAAACATCTCTGTTGTATTCTTAAAAGTCTGCTCAGTTGAATTAGAAATATTAATGTTGAGAGTTTTCAAGCGCTGATCAAATCAGCAGGATTTGGACTTGGTTGAGGCAGCATTTAAACAATTTAATCTCAGACTTTAATTTGGGGAGAGGTGGTGCAGAAGCTAGAGAAGGCGAGCCTGTGATCAGAAGGTTGCTGGTTCGCAGCGATGTGGACTCGAGTCACATGACTTAGACTTGAGTCATTAATATTATGACTTTAGACTTGACTCGAAAAAATGTTCAGACTTATTTGGACTTTTACACCAATGACTTGGGACTTGACTTGGACTTTGACCTGTTTTCTTGAAAAGGCTTGATATTTTACCCATGATCTAAAGTTTAAAAACCGCGGTGAAGTTACAATAGTTGGATGTTCGAGCTCCGTGGATTCAGAGGTGTGTTCCTCTTGTTCGATCTGATGCAGGCAGCCTGATTTCGGTCAGCTGCGCTCAGTCTGCCCCCTCCTCCGAGGTGCAATGTTTCGCTTAGGGACCGTCAATAAATTACCGAACCAAACATTCTTGAGAAAAAAAATTAATAGCTTTCAAGTCACGAGATCCACTGACACAAAACAGTCTAGCACTACAGCTAAGTCACTACCTGGATATTGCTGATGGACAGAACACCCTGTTGTTCTGGGCAATGAACATACAGACTCTTCCTTCACTGTTTCATGTGGCCACCAGAGTTTTGGCAGTGCTTGCATGTAGTGCTCCATTGGAGCGAGTTGTCAGCTATGGTGGCATCATTCTAAGGTCTCATCGTGCACAAATGACTTTTGGCCAGTTTGTTTTTGTGCAAATGCAATACAGAATAGCTAAGTGAAATAACTTTAACTGCACATCTCTGTTCATTGTTCATTTCCTATATTTGTTTTGTTTCTCTCTCTGTCACTCACACATGGACATGTACAAACATTCATTCAACCTTTATTTAAGCCGATAAATCACATTAAGCCTCAAAGACTAATTTACAAATGAGACCTGTTTGGACAGATGGTAAGTGGTGAAAGTGACAACATAGATTTTGGAGGCAAAAAAAATCCTAACATGCTCTTAATATTTGGCTTAAGATGAATAGCCTGAAAGTGAAGAAAAAAAAACCCTTGCATACAAGCACATAATAACGTCGACATTCCGCGGGGGGGAGACGCAAGGGTGGTGAGCATGTCCAGAGACAACTCAGAGGCACTAGTTCCCTCTGGAGAGGTCTATACTCCCTCAGGAGGTACCGAGGACAGCCAAGGATGACATCAGATAGAATTCAAAGAGTCCTGAAATGATGACAGAATGCTTATTCAGCTGGGCCCCTCTGATTGGTCTGTAGACTTCCTCGGTGTGTGTGTGTGTGTGGGGGGGGGGGGGGGGGGGGGGCAGAGCATCAAGGTTTGAGGCTCTAAAGCAGTTTCACAGACAGGACAGAGCAAAGCAAAGAGGAGAGGGAGAGGAGGGGAAAGGTGTCCGCCCTTGACAAAAGCAAGTATTGAATGAGTACAAACATCTGTTCACTAAGTGACTAGATGAGAGAGGAAATAAATTTACTGTGATGGTTCTTTGTAATGGGCAGCACGGTGGCACAGTTGGTAGAGCTGCTGTCTCTCAGCAAGCAGGTTACCCTGGTTCAAATCATGGCCGGGGACCTTTCTGAGTGGAGCTTGCGTGTTATCTCCATACATGCGTGGGTTTCCTCCATTGACTCCGGTTTCCTCCAACATACCAAAAACATGCATGTTAGACTGATTGTTAACTCTAAATTGTCCTCAGATGTGAGTGAGAGAGTGAATTTGTCTTGTTTGTAATTGTGTCCCTGTGATGAACTTGCAACCTATCCAGGCTATACCCCACTTCTTAGCGATGGCTGGACATGGGCACCAGTGACCCACGCAACCCGAAACAGAGGAAGCATGTAAAGGTAACAGATGGATGGTTCTTTGTAATGTACTGTGGAAATGTCAGCATTTTTTGTCTGAACATGGAGTTCTGCTTTTGCATTTGACACTGAATGTTTATTCTGGAAAATTATAGTTTAAAGGAAGACTATTCTTACAGCTAAGTTTAACTGAACTGTGCAATGTAAAGGTGCAATTTTAGAATTACTTTTTAACACTTTGTAAGTTCAGCTGCACGTTTCATCATGATTTGAGACAAATACATATTTAAAAAGAACACATGGTTTATTATTTACATTTAACATATAATTGCAACTTTGTTAATAAAGACTCGAAAGGACTTGACATTTCAAGTTTCAGACTTGGGACTTGACTTGATGTTTGCCTGTGTTACTTGAGACTTGACTCAGGACTTGAGGATAAAGACTTGAGACTTACTCGATACTTGCAAAACAATGACTTGGTCCCACCTCGATCCTCCAGACTGACATCAAAATGTAGGTGGGAAAGGTGAAGCACCCACACCTGCCTCCACCCTCATTTACCCCACTCTGGGCCCTTGAGCAAGGCCCTTAACCCCCACCATCTGCTCCCCCGGGCACCCTAGTTAGCAGCTCTCTGCTCCACACAGAGGATTGTGGTAGCTTGGTGGTCTGTGGTTGCATCAGGAAGGCAGCTGGCATTTCAAACTATTTCCAAGTCTTTGTGCGAGTTAGTTCACTGTGGCGACCCCTGAAGAAGGGAGCAGCTGAAGAAGAGGTCTCAGACTTTAATGTGAAAGTCTAAATTCCTCATATAACAACAAATGAAACAACTTAGTTGGACTGTTTTAATGGTAATTTTGCCAAGCACCTGGCCAGCCAGGGTTTCATAAAATACATACACGTGTAAACAAAAGCTGTGAAATGCAGCGTACAATAAAAAAATATGTTATGAACAATTTTTACAAAAACACATAGCAACTAACAATTAGGACAGTTTTATTTATAAAAAGAAAATCATAAAGGAAATATGCAAATGTGACATCAGTCATTAATAACCCTTTTATAAACTGGTGCAACTGGCAAAACGTGGAAAAACAAACAAAAAGTTGCACCTTTTCAGTATTATGTACAATAGTATTATGTACAATAATATACAATGCATATTCAGCGTTGTAACCAGATTATCAACGCAATGCAAGTAATCACATTGCATCTTCTATCTGTAAAACTGGCTATAACTGAACCTTAGCACGAAGATGAGTTGTAGAGCTGAATATCATGATAAATATTAGAAATAAAACATAATTTGAAGGTAATTTTTTGTACATTCAGAGGAAAATAAACCAATGTCCAACATAAATATTTCTTCTATATGATACCATTTTCTTTTTAAAATACACATAGTAATTTATTTCACTTCGTTCAAGGTTTTTTTTTCTTCGGCTAGTTATTCTTACGTTTTCTTATAGTCTTGCAAAGTCCTGATAGAAATGGTCTGATCAATATAAAGCACATTCTATAATTTTATTACATATTTTGACTAAGCTTGTTATTTTGGAGACACCAGAACTATATCTCCCTTTTTGATAGCAGGTGCATGTATGCATGAAAATGATGTAAAAACATCTTGAATCGCTTTACAGAATGACCCAACGTCAGGCTGTAACCTTCAAGTTCTAAAATTACTGGTTGGACTAGTGCAGATATTTTTTTTTTTACATGTTAAAAACATGATGTCATGATATCATGACAGCCAAATCTGCATGGTAAGCTCATGTGGGCACAGTCGTCATCACCAGTAGTTCAAGGCTACAAGACAAGACATTTAGGGGTATAATTCACTAAACAGTAATTTACTGATGACTTCATATAGAGCAACATTCTCATGAAAAAGCCCTTTAAGCTGGCATTTTCAGTCATAAAATGTGAATTATTTACTGTAGGAAGCATAATTGTAGGTTTAGCTTCATAATGGGTGGGCTTGTTGCTCATGAAGTTATCGTTTGATGGTGTTTTTTCAGATGACTGCGAAGACTCTGAAGGCTTTTCCTCCTGTGGGATTTGATATGCTGAAAGAAGATGAGCAGAGAAACAAAAATAAAGGCTACTTTAGATGTAAAAAATATATAGGTTTTTATCTATATGAGGCGCTGAGGATCAACATCCTGCTCCTCCAACAACCTCCCCCCAACTGGGCCAAAGCCCAGTTCTAAAACCGTTACCTTTCTGAGGAGATGCCATTCTGAAAACTGCCACTGTACTGCTGCCGTTTGTCCAGCGGCATCACATCGAGGTAACCTCCGGACTCGTTCTGGATCACTCCTGCATGAATGGCAGCTTTACAGATACTGGATTTCTGAATTGGAACAACAACAAAAAAAAAAAAATCAGAGCAATAACATAAAATTATGTGTGAAATCCTAACATCTTTGTTCTGTACAAAATAAAAACCATTTGTATCAAAACCATGTAAATAAATTCCAGAGCATCTATTTCAATCTAATGCACAGACAATGCTGCATGGTGACAATGCTTTGAAGTATAAAAGATGACAAAGGTCATAACAATGCAAACAATCATGCTGGTTGAAAAAAAGCAAACGTGTACAAAGTTTAACTAACAAGGTTGAGTCAGGACCTCTGGACGAATTCTTCTAAGCATGCAAGCTTGAGCATTAATAGTTACAGAACAGATGTACCTGTATACTGAATACAGTCTTTTTGTTTGTGGTATAAAATTCTTAGCTTTACTTATTGTGAGCAGTGTATTTAGCTATCCAGTCAAAAGACAGGTTTTGTGCAGTCGCCGGGGTTTGTGTTCATTTTGTCACTAAAGTTCATGCTCAATAATCTCACAAATCTAACAATGTTCAGTCAGGTCATCTGGACGTTTTTTTTTTGGTTGTTGTTGCTGAGAAGTTTTGTCCTTCATCCAAAGGACTTCTTCAGTCTGAGGAGCCACAAACAAACTACAGTCCCACAAGCACCAACTCCCATAGTGGATAAAAACAGTTTGCTGGTGATAAGATAGTTTCTGGGGCCTGCCCTTTCCCCCGTCAACTCTTCTCAAGGCTACCACATACTCAGGTGTACTGTGTGTACTCTGTGAGCAGCGCGGACACTGCCCGCAGACGGTTGCGATTTCATAATTGAGCGTACACCCTGACGGGCTGCAGCTAGCTCTGCAGGCAAGGGGCGTTAACCTTCGAGACAAATTGAGGTTGCCGATTGATCATTTGCTGACATGCCTACTGGATTGAGTGACATGTCGGGGGGAAAAAAAAAGCTGCTGGCAGCCCTGGGTAGAGGCAGCTGGCAGGATCAGCAGTGTTCTGTTTATATGTTGTTAATAAAAAGTTCTAAAAAAAAACCCCAAAAAACAGGGAGCCCTGGCCCTGCAGCCCACACATCAAACCGGCCCACCAGGAAATCTCCAGACCCTCCCACAGCCATGCTGGGCCTGATTTTAATTCTCTTGTGACAAATTCCTTCATTTCTCACCATTTTAGTCATGGTGTCAACGGAAGAGGAAGAGATCACTGCCTCTTGGCAAAAAAAAACAAAAAACAAAAAGCCATTAAACCAGATCAGGAATGAAGAAGGGGAATTTCATACATTGGTGTCACATACAAAACAGTCCGTTGCCGGGCAGTTTACTGTGCGACACTGAGTACGCGTACATGGTTGTAAAAATTGATCTTTGCGTGGACATGGCTTGCGGACGTCTGCTTCGAGACCACATTGAGTCTAATCCGGTACGCGCAGACCTCTGAGGAGTGAAGTACGCCCGAGTATGTGGGAGCCTTTAGACAACCATGCCAACTGGGTTTTTTTTCCACTATGGGAGTTGATGCTTGTGGGACTAAAGTTTCTTTGTGGCTCCTCGGACTGAAGAAGTCCTTTGGATGAAGAATGAAACTTCTCAGCAAAAAAAAAAAAAAACGTCCAGATGACCAGACTGAACACTGTTGTGTTCATTTGTCTGTCTGTTAGTAAAACATTTCATGAACCACTGGACAGATTTAACTGACTCTCCCAGAAAGTAATTATTGGATACAGTACATATATCTATGATTACCTTTTGATATCAGCATAGTTAAAAATGGCAGCTACAGCTAATAGACATTAGAAAACACAAAATCAGCTACAACCTGGGTATTTTTACAGACTGGGCTAAAATGTAGAGTAGTAGAAGCTGTCAGTCATTCCCAGCACATGCACTAAGTGCATAGTCTCATATTTGCTTAATTCTTTGACATAAAAACAACAGGCAACATGTATTTCTTCATGGAGGGCTAGTTTTATTGAGGCTGCAAATACTCACATCTGAGTAATATTTTGTCCCAAAGACTCGGGCTTGATTGTCATGTAAACAGCTCCTGGGACAATACAACCTGAAACAAAAAGCTCAAGTTTAGAAGTTAGATTATTAGTCCTCAAATAAAGAAATAATGTTGTACAACTGAATCATGAGACTTTTTAGAAGATGCATTTCTTTTATGGTAGGTTTTTATTTCTCTCCTATATTTTTATTACTATAATATCTGCATTTTTGAATTATAAATAACCTTTACTAGATATTTGCACTTAAAAAAATAAATAAATAAAAAAGATCCCAAGGACAGCATTTCAGCTTGCAGCTATGGGCTGCAGCAGCCACTAATGATAGCAGCATGTTACCTGGGACAGTGCCGAATAGGTTTCTTGAATGGACAAAAAACTGCCACTGTAGTATCACATCTGACTGCCTTAACTGGGGGGAGAAACAAACAAATCACAGCAAACTATGATCCTGTAATGTTTCTTCACACAGAAAAAATTACAAAGTGTAAATTTAAAATGTGCTCCCTACCGGACACCGAATCTACTTTGAAGGAATTTGCACTTCTATTTTTCCTGTAAAAACAAAAGTTAAGGTGGAATTGTCAGCCACATCACAAGGTAAATATTACTTAATTCCATAAATACTCAAGTGTTTAGCAAAAAAATTTTTTTACAAAGGTTGATTCCTACCCAATGGACTGAATACCATTCTTGTATAATTTGGTAAAATATTGTTTTCTGCCCAGTCTGGTTACATCCAGCCATCCTCCATCATTGTCAATGACTCCAGTGTGCAGTGCAACTCCACACACACTGGATTGCTGAAATAAGAGCCAATATTTTTTTTTTTTACAAAACACACAAAAAGTAAGCAAGTAAGTTAGGTTGCTGTAATAAGTGATTATTTACCATATCATAGTACTCTGTCCCAACTACTTTTCCAGGCCTCTCCAGACAACCAGGTGGACATTCATATCTGTGGATAGACAATGGATTGAGGTGAACAAAAGTTTAGAACAGATGTTTTCCTGATAATATGAGAACACAATGGAAAAATACTAATATCTGTGGACCTGTGTCAGAGCTGAGCCGGCTGATAGACACTGCACCATCTCTTATCAGGACAGTGGAACTATCTGGCAGTGTCCATGAACAACTCACCACCTTTGTCGGCCTCCTCTTGCATAAATGTATTATGATGTCATCAGTATGTTGCTGTTTTCTGTGCTGAGTGAGGTATTTTTGTTTGCAAAAGGACACAATGCAAGATATGTTTTATTTTGTACCTCCCCTCCCCTCATGTTTCACTTTTCCTTATCTGAAAAGTGCAGTGCCTCTCAAGGCCGCGGCCTCAGACACCTCCGTCTCCCCATGTCTGTTTGTTTATGTTTTCTTCAGACGGGCTGTACTGAAATGTAATATTGTTGTGCTCCGGTGCAATGACAATAAAGCTGATTCTGATTATGTTGGTCTGAGGTTGATCATCTACCTGTTACAGGTTGTCCCCTTGCACTGGTCCCTCAGCTTGGTCTCACATTCAACCTGTTGGGCTTGTGAGACAACGAACAGAGTTGATGTAGTCATTGTCAAAACACATTTTATGCTTTTGCTTCTGTATGGAAGAATCAAAATAAAAGTGCCCTTATAGTTCTCCTTACACATCTGTTCTGTGCTGACAACCTGGTTCCTCTCAATGTTGTCGTTAGGTGATGGATTTGGTGTTCGGTCCCTTGGTTGAGACTCTCTGTCTCTCACTGCTTCTGGTTGTGGCTCTATGTAGTTGGTTTCCTCGATCTCAGGAGCTGGGTGCCTGTCAACACCACCCTCTAAAAGAAACACAGTGTTAATGCTATTTTGCACATTGCAATTTTTTATCTTACCGATATATCAGTTTAAATGTAATATCTGAACATCGTTATGTTTGAAAGTGCTGCATTCAGTTCGGAAAACATAGCCCAAACTACTTTACAATTTCACCATAATTGTGTAAATATATAACCATTACTTGGTTATTATACTTACCTGTCTTTTAGACCGATACATTTGTCTAAATATTTAACAAGAACATATTTCATGAAGGTAAAACATACAATTGTAAAAGTTTCATTATATAAATTATCTTTACTGTTTGAAACTAACAGTTTTAAATATGTTTTTTTCTTAAGCATACCTTTATAACACAGGTTGTTTCTGCAGCCACCTGCATAGCTGGCTGGACAGGCAGAACAAGGTGCACCATATTTGTATGGAGCATGACCCCACCAGTTTCCTCTGAGATAAAACAAAACAAAACATAAAATGTATGATTTGTCACAGAAGAAAAAACACAAACTAAATAATATTCAAATTTAAACAAAACCTCTCACACCCTGAGTTTATTGCAGTGTTGGAACTTCTAAAAAAGTTGGGACAGGTTCAGCTGGTGAACCCATCCAGAGGACCTGACTTAACTTTTATAGATTTTTCTACCTGGGTTATTGAGCATGCATCAGGATGAGTGTCGGAACTTATTTATGGCAAAAACTTACGGTGGAGAATAGTTGCAGACCAGATAGACAGCTTTGGCCCAGATCATTCCCCAGACGTTCATGTTGTAACACACGTTGATAGCACAGCCAATACGACTACTAGTTGCCCACACCAACTAAAGGAGAGAAAATGTTTTTTATTGTCTTTTTCTAAGGTTTATACAGAAGTAGAACATGAATAAATGCTATATTTCTTATGATATAGTTGTTTTGTATTTTTGATATTATTTCAATATAAAAAGCCGTTAAATATTTATGCATAATTTCTAACGAATATATTAGACCATTTCCGGCCTGCAATGTTTTATTCAGTTCAATTCCTTTTCAATTCAGTTTATTTATATAGCGCCAAGTCATCTCAGGGCACTGAACAGAAATGTTCATAAACATAAAAAGTTAACACTATTTAACAGAGGAGCAGACTGCTTTGAATTTAACTCCATTGCAAAACTCTCATCTTGAGCAAGCACTAAGGCGACAGTGGAAAGGAAAAACTCCCTCATGAGGAAGAAACCTTTAGCAGAACCAGGGTCAGGACAAGCGGTCATCTGCTTCGACCGGCTGGGTTTGAGAGGAACAGATACACAATGGCAGGTCAAGAATCACGTTAAGATAGAAAGAGTATCAAATGAAAACTATTCAGTTTTAACAATTTATTTAAGGAAATGAGGTCAATTTATCCTCCAGTAGTCTAAGTCTATGACAGCATAACAAGCCAACCCTAACTATATGATTTATCAAAAAGGAAAGTCTTAAAATTGGACAGCCTCATGGACAGAAACTGGAAGTTGGTTCCACAAGAGAGGAGCCTGATAACTGGAAGATCTTCATCCCGGGGCTTAATTTGTGCTGGATCATTCGGAACAAGATCTAGGAACTTTCTTATTATGACAGGGTGTGTTCCAGTAACTGTTTTCTTGGATCCGGTAACTCTCACGCTTACTAATAAGAAAATTTAAGAACAAATTTTACTGCCTTGAATGAATAAAACCTTTATTGGATTTGTAATCTGAAAATAATTACATAACCACTAATTTTAAACATAACGAGCTTGCTAATATAACATCAGAGCTGTTGCTTTGCATTACCACTTCTGCTCTTAAAAAAATTTCCACCCCTAAAAGGGCAAAGTCATAGGCCATTTTATTTAAAAAACACAAAAATATAATTAAACGTTTTGCATTATGCATAAGTTCTTGCGCTTTTGTGAACAATCTGGAGAGGTTTTTTTTAATAAGTTAGAAGGCTATCTCTGCAAGAAAATAAAATTATTCAACGTTAGTGGAGCACCATTTTCTTTCCAGTTTTCTAGATGCCTGTTTTAAGGTACTTAACTCAGAACTGAACCAAGGATCCAGTCTCTTCTGTATGATTACTTTATTTTACAGCGGAGCAGTTTTATTGAGCAAAGTTTCCAAAGAAGTTGTACTTTGTAAATTTATCAACCAGATGATCTAAGTTATTGCTCTCTAATGTATTACTCTACGAGACAGAGAAAAACGATGGAAGAGAATCATTAAATTTGGTTACAGCATTTTCTGATGAGCACCTTATAAGGTGAAATTTACTTTCAGTGACTGTGTAGTCATTTAATATAAACTCAAAGGTGATAAAAAAATTATCAGACAGAACAGGATTTTGAGGATACATTACTAAGTCCTTAATATCGAAGCCATAAGTCAGAACCAGATCAAGAGTGTGATGAGAATGAGTAGATGTGTGGCCGTTTTGGGTAAAACCAATTGATTCTATTAAAATTTTAAAGGTTATGTTTGAGCTATCACTTTCAACATCTACATGAATATTGAAATCACCCATTATAATTATACACCAAAATCATTATCATCATACACCAAAGTTAGTCATGGAGTTCCTCAGGATTTAGTGCTTGGACCAATACTCTTTACCTTATATATGCTTCCATTAGGTAAAGTTATTAAACAGCATGGGTTAAATTTTCATTGTTATGCTGATGATACACAGTTACCTTTGTCCATGAAACCCAATGAATCCCATCAGCTACTTTGACAATAATGTCTTAAAGACATAAAAACCTGGATGACCCTAAATTTTCTATTTTTGAATATAGACAAGACTGAGGTTTTGGTTTTTGAACCTCAGCATCTTAGGAATTAATTTTCCAATCTTTCTCCCTCCTTAGATGGCATTAATCTGGCCTCCAGTTTTAATGTTAAAAATGTTGGTGTTATTTTTGATCAGGACATGTCTTTTATCCCCCACATTAAAAACGTTACTAGAACCGCCTTCTTTCACCTGCGTAATATCGCTAACATTAGAAACATCTTATCTAAAAATGATGCAGAAAAACTGTTTCATTTTTGGTGCATTTGTCACATCTAGACTGGACTATTACAATGGTTTGTTATCTGGATGTCCAAATACTTATTTAAAAAGGTCTTAATTTAATCCAAAATGCTGCTGCCAGAGTCTTAACTGGAGTTAGTAGGAGAGATCATATCGCTCCAGTTTTAGCTTCTCTCCAGTGGCTCCCTGTCAAGTTCATAATTGAATTCAAAAGCTTACTTCTAACCTACAAAGTTCTCAACAACCTAGCTCCATCTTGTATTAAAGATATTATTGTTCCATATTTTTCCAACAGAGCACTTCACTCTCAGACTTCAGGCTTACTCGCAGTTCCTAGAGTTTCCAAAGGCAGAATGGGAGGAAGATCTTCCAGTTATCAGGCTCCTCTCTTGTGGAACCAACTTCCAGTTTCTGTCCGTAAGGCTGATACATTGTCCAGTATTAAGACTGGGCTTAAGACTTTCCTTTTTGATAAATCCTATAGTTAGGGTTGGCTTCTTATGTTGCCATAGGCTTACACTACTAGAGGACAAATTGACCTCATTTCCTTAACTGATTTGTTAAAATGGTATATTTTTCATTTGATACTATTTCTATCTTAATGTGATTCTTGACCTGCCATTGTGTATCTGTTCCTACCAAACCCTGCCGGTCAAAGCAGATGGCTGCTTGTCCTGAGCCTGGTTCTGCTAAAGGTTTCTTCCTCATGAGAGAGTTTTTCCTTTCCACTGTTGCCTTCATGTTTGCTCAAGATGAGAGGTCTGTGATGGAGTTAAATTCAAAACAGACTGCTCCTCAGATAAATAGTGTTAAATTAACTTTTTGTATATATGAATGGTTCTGTTCAGTGGCCTGAGATGACTTCTATTGTGACTTGGCACTATATGAATAAACTGAATTGAATTGAAATTATTATTATTATTTATCATTATTAATATTATTATTCATATCGGAAATCTTTTTACCATATGTAGCCCTACCTGAGTGTAGTGAGTACAAACAGGTCCTGAACATCTGAATGGACAATGTGGATTACACTCCTGGGAGTATGGATAGCTGTAGTACCTCACCTCATCGTACCAGGCCTGGACATGGTAGGTAGGTGGTCTGTCCCTGAAGTTAAAGAAATGAATTATAGATAATATGCATGTTATTCTGTGGCCTTAAGGGGTAATTGCAAAAAATCAAAACTTTTCTCTTTGTTGAATCTGTTCAAATTTAGCAGTATGGTGAAGTTAGTGATTAAACATGTTCAAACAAATGTACAGTGGCTTGTGAGGTAACCTATTGGCGTTTCTTTCTTTAAAATGAACAGACAAACCAATTAAAACAGAATAGTTATATGATTGATTTCTACTATGTTTACTCCATCAGATGTAAAAATAAAAGCTCTGGACCTCCTCATTACTGCTGAGTTCAACAAAGTGTTTCAAGCATCAAAACAGTCAAGAGGAAAGACATCAAATATCTTTCTGCTAAATTTGGGAACTGTGAATCTGTAACCGTTACTGGAACGTTGAGTTAAATTTGCTTTTGAATGTGCTCCGTCACATTATACTCATGGTGTGGTACACAATAACAACACAATTAAACTAAGTAGCACCAATACTAATATACAGTATGCTGATGTAAATGGCTAGTTCAGATATCCATCCATCCATCCATCCATCCATCCATCCATCCATCCATCGTTACTCGCTTCTTCCTTTTCGGCTTGCGGGGCCCAGGGGTCACTGATGCCCATATCCAGTAGTCACTGTGCGAGAGGCGAGGGACACCCTGGACAGATTGTAAATCCATCACAGGGACACATAGAGACAAACAAGAAAAACAACCATTCACTCTCTCACTCACACCTAGGGACAATTTAGAGTTACCAATCAGCCCAACATGCATGTTTTGGTCTGAGGGAGGAAACTGGAGCATCCGGCGAAAGCCCACACACAGAGAGAACAGGCAAACTCCACCCAGAAAGGACACCAGACGGGATTTGATCTGGGGACCTTTTCGCTGAGAGCCAACAGCTCGACCAACTGAGCTCTATTTCAGATTTTTTGGTGATGTTCTCGGGAAATGTCATGAACAATAAATATCTTACATATACTTTAGTGGCTACTTTAAATGTAAATAGAAGGACTCAAGCAATTTAGGTATGGCCTGGGTCCCTTTTGGCAAGAACATCATATTATTTCTGCCAAATTATCTGTACAATGCTGATAGAGGTGTGAAAATTTATAAAATAATTTTTTAATAAACTATTAAATTTAAGTATTTGAGTTTAGAAACCCTGAAAATAACTGATATATAATTTTAAGCTTAAGATTCCTAATATTTCTGTGTCAAAACATTTGTTTTAATCATCTCATAACTTAACTACATTTAACTCACTACTGGTTCATACCTGCCCCAGTGCGTTCCAAGGTTCTGTCCTATTTGTGTCAACATGTGGCTTGGTCCATGCTCCCATCGGCAAGTATGTGCCCAGTGTTCTGCACTCCGCTCTAACTCATAATCCCATACCTGGAAAAAAATAATAATAATTCATACATAAGCACACAAAGCAACACACAGGTTAGCTTGGGTTAAAAAGTTACCCATAAAGGGTATAGGCTAAAGTGCTATTGTTAGGTCTAGTAATAATAGCTTTCTCTTGGGCAAAAGGTTAATCTAAAAAAACAAAAAGGTTATCCAGCTTTGTCTTTAATTGATCTTTGCAAACCAATTTCCCCACTGGTTAAATACTTCTGGCTTTAACGGCTCCTCAAAAGACCTTGTTTAGACCCATCAAGAAAATGAAACTACTGCAACGCTTGACATTGATCCTGATTGTTGAGGCAAAGTGCATCTGAATGATGAACCTGAGTGTTTGAAAGTGCTGAGGGTGCACGGCTTGTGCAAATTTGACACTACAGTCAGAGTTAGGATTCTCTGTTAGAAATACACACATATTTGCTGACTAACATAGAGACAAATGCATGAGAGACCACCAGACCAACTTGCAGCTTTGTGCTACTATTCCCTGGAGTTGTTTCACATCTTGTTTCCTGTGAGTTTTATCTCACACACACAAAATAAAACCTTCTAAAAGACAGTTAAAAAAAGACTGAGGAACACAAAGAGGCTCTGTGTAGGGGAGGAGATGCCATCTCTGTTGCAAGAACTTAACATAAATCAGCTGAAGGATTCCTGAATACACTTCACACAAATCTTGCTTTGAACAAGCAAGGCTGTGAATGCATGGGGCAATCTAAATGTTGCGGCAAAATTAATGTAGTGTTTACTCTGTTGCGGAGGAAAAAGAATAGGCGCAGTGTGCTCTGCTGTTGGCGTATCGTTTAGCTGCATTATGGATATCTCACATCAACACTAATAGGATAATGCCTATGTGCGGACCACCATAATGCCTTCCATGTGTTCTGCACAAGGTGAACATTCTGATGCCCACTCAGTGTGTGATTTGAAAACTGCTTTGTTTTTGTTTCTGCCAATGAGCTGAAGCTGAAACACCAACATAAGAGCTAACTGCTTGCAATTAGGTTGCAGAAGAATTCTCATTACAGCAATTTGAGCCGCTTAGCTTTTGCTGAAAGAAAACATAGATTTCTGAGAGAAAGAAGGAGAAAAACATCACACACCATTTGACTGTACAAAACCTAAAAACAGCTATGTTCATAGCTGGGCAGATTATGGTTGCAACAAAGGTGATTTCAACCAAAAATGTACATTTAACTGGCCTGTGCATAAACAGCACAATATGTGCTACTGTGGAGTGTAGACTACTCCAGTGGGAATAAATTAAAGATTTAGTGAAAAATGCTCCAAGTTGATCAGTTGTGTAATTTTTTTTTCTCAACTTGGGTAGTTTACATAAAGTTAAAAAAAAATCCCTATGGTCATTGTAGTAATGACCACTTGATCTATTGTCTTAGCTACTATGATGCATAAACAACTTGTACATTTCTACACGTGCACAGCTCATACACAACAAAGTTGGAACAAAGAACAAGTCTGAATGGTAAACATTCAAGATATTCTAAAGATCTCTGCCACATTGTTCGTTTCTTCATGTTCATGTACCGGTAATTTTTTCTACTCTGCTATCTATCAAAGGGGAAGATGAACTGCCCAAAAGCTTTCAGAAAAAAGTGAGGATAACAACCATTGATTGCATTTGCATTCCACAAAGCATAAAGTTTCCAAAACACAGATCTGCTTCCAGCCCTATTAGACCACCTCTGCAACAAAGGTAAATGTGAGATGAACTGAGAACAAAGCCTTCAAATTCATGCTTAGTTTTTATATTTTAAAGTACCTTCTAAATATATGTAAGTGGGCCCAGAGTGGGTGTTATTCCCCTAGAACTGGGGTTTTCCATCTTTTTGGGTTCATGGACCCCTTATGGAGGAGAAAAAGTTTCAGGGACCCTCTCATAACCATCATGTTTATTAAATAATTGTCTTCAGTTTGCCTCTTTAATGTAATGGAAATATCTGTGTAACATTAATACTTAATATTTATTCTTTAATAATGTTAATACATTTGTTAAACTTTTAAATGTGGGAAATTATTCATTCAAAACACAATAAACAAAATTAAAAATTTCACCTTCCAAAAATTACAGTTTTGAGAAAATTATCAGTATCAAAAACCACTTTAAAACTTTACCTATTCACTTAACGAACATAAATGTATTGGCACTTCTTTAAATTATTACAGAAAACTCTTTATAGTAGTCCCTCGCTACTTGGCGGTCCGACTTTCGTGGACTCGCTATATCGCTGTTTGTCAACGCACATAAACATATGTATTTTTTAAATTGTACAGGACACATGATTGTCAACTTTAATACAGGATTAGTCACTTGATTGGGACAGTACTGGACACAGTACAGTAAAAAGTTAACAAAAAAAAATACTTCGGACAGGCGCCGCCATTTGGTAGTTTTCTCTCAATAAGCCCATACTGTATTCCTGTCTTAATGACTACATTTCCCAGAAGCCAACAGTGCCCCACCCAGAAGCCCCATTTCCTTCTGCTGAAAAACTAGAGGGAAAGTATTGATCTGATTGGAAAGTTTGGTGCTTATTACAGTGACTTCGGCGCCCAGCAGATGCAGAGAGCTGCACAGAACCCACCAAACCAGACCAGAACTGGAGCAGAACCGAAGCAGAACAAGACCTCCAGACCCATTGGTGAGAGCTAGTAGCCGGCCCACAAGTACGTCCGAGTAGGCGTGTGCTGTCAAAGGTCCAGGGCTCCATCTGGAGCCTATAGGGACTTTTTTCATCCATACTTGGACTCAGTCAACCACATAAGGTCCCGCGCCGGCCAACCAAAGGTCTGCCCCCCCACCCCTCAATATGCACCTCAGAGCTCAAGGACTACACTGAACCAGATCAGAACTGGACCCCCAGACTCAGTGAAAAACCTGAGAGCTCCTAACTGGCCCATGAGGACTTCCGAGCTGGACTTGTGCCGCAGAAGATCCGGTGCTCCATCCGCAGCTCCATCTGGAGCTCCATCCGGAGCTCCATCCGGCGCTCCATCCAGCGCTCCATCCGGAGCCCACTGGGATGTTTTTCAACTTTTTCAACTGGACTACACGGACCTCCGAGTGGGGATGTGCTGGTAAGTAAAATTTAGTAGCTACGTATAGGTATCCAACAATGTTAAGTCAGGTCATCTGGGTGTTTTTTTTTTGTGCTGAGATGTTTTGTCCATCAGCCAACGGACTTCTTCAATCTGAGGAGCCACCAAAACAAAACTGATTCTCTACCAACAGCATACTCCATAGTGGAAAAAAACAGTTTGCTGGTGCTAAGATGGCCTCTGGGGCATGCCCTCTCCACTGGGGCACGCCCTCTCCCTTGTCAACTCCTCTGAGACGATCATGTCAAAGTGGTTCAAAACACCATGCTCACTAATCCAGGTATAAAATCCAACAATGTTCAGTCAGGTTATCTGGATGGTTTATTTTTTGTACAGAGACAAAAGAAACCATCCTGATGACCTGATTTAACATTGTTGGATTTTATACCTGGATAATTGAGCATGAACTTTGGTACATATAAGTATGTTGTAAAAAATAGTAGGTTTAAGAGTTTAGAACTGGGGTGGCGAACCAGTTCAGAATTAAAAAACAAATTAAACCCATCATCATCTTAATGAGCCAAACAGCAATTTTAAGATTAGTTTCATAACACATTGCTTGTTCAAACAATTTTTGTCTTAGTCTTTAGTTCTTTTTCTTAGTCCCTTAGGCCTTAGTGCATCAGCGACAAAGCCCACAATCAATGTTTTAAACTCTTAAACCAACTAATTTTAACAACATACTTATATGTAGTGACTAAATTTTACTTACTGGTACTAGCTCTGCAGAACAGCAACACAAGTTAGTAAGTAAAAGCTCTTGGTTCTGGTCCGATTCGGTTTGTTTCTGCAGACGTACCCTGCAGCGACGTATGTTCAATGTTCTACGTCTACTGGCCAATATCTTTAACTCCTCACTTACCCTGGCAACAGTTCCCACCTGCCTGAAGACCGCCACCATCATCCCGTTCCCAAAGAGCTCTACATTGACTGGTCTGAATGACTACCGGCCAGTAGCCCTCACCCAGATAGCTGCTAAATGCTTTGAAAAACTGGTCATGACCCACATCCAAACAACCATCAATTTCAACGAGGATCCTGACCAGTACGCATACCACGAGAATTGATCAACAGAGGACGCCATCTCTTCTGTGGTCCACACTGCTTCCACCCACCTGGAGCAGAAGGACAGAAGGACTCCTATGTCCGTATGCTCTTTGTGGACTTCACATCTGCCTTCAGTAACATGATCCTGAAAAACTGATGGACAAACTAATCACACTAGGACTAAGCCCCTCCATTTGCAACTGGGTACTAGACTTCTTAACAAACAGACTGCAGCCAGTGAGGATCCACAACTTAATTTCCTCCACCATAACCCTCAGCACTGGTTCCCCTCAGGGCTGTGTGCTGAGCCCTCTCCTGTTCACTCTGCTCACATATGACTGTGCACCTACCCATCCAGGCTGTCACATTGTAAAGTTTGCAGATGATACAGCGATAGTGGGATGCGTCACAAACAATGATGAGTCCAGCTACAGGCAGGAGGTTGAACACCTGGAGAGCTGGTGCAAGGAAAATAACCTTCACATCGGTGTGAAGAAAATGAAGGAGATGGTTGTGGACTTCAGAAGTAACAAACACCCACTCCCCCAATGAATATGGGAGGATCTGTGGTGGAAGTGGTCTCCATCTACAAGTACTTGGATGTGCATCTGAATGACAACCTCAGCTGGGGCAACAACACTACCAACCTGATCAAAAAAGCTCATCAGAGACTCTACTTCCTCAGGCAGCTGAGGCGAGCTGGTCTGGGAAATTCAGTCCTCTCCTCCTTCTACAGGTGTGCGGTAGAGAGCATCCTGCATTCCAGCATCAATGTGTGGCATGGAGGCTGCACAGCTACAGAAAGAAAAGCTCTGCAGAGAGTG